CCCCCCCCCCCCCTTCTTTTTCTTTGCTTTAGTAGGAGTTTGCTACAAAAATAAATCCTAAAAGCCTGTGGATCCAAGGGGCAGGACTGCTCTGGTTTGCAGTGCTGTCTCTAGTTTGCAGTAGTAATTTAAATATTTAATCAAAAGCCCATCTGCAAAGAACACAGCAGTGCAGATGATAAATCCTATCGAGGCTTTCTTTTCAATTTCAAAGCCAGAGCAGAGTGAATGGGGAAACAGGCTGATTTGTAGCTGGATGTGTAACTTCTCAGCTCCGAGTCTTCTGCTAAAATCCTGATTTCTGGCATGATAGCCAGGAAGGCCTGATCCTTGTGTCTAAGCGTGGAGCAGCTCCACTGGCCTGGCGCTGCTCTGGCTGCCAGGATCAGGAGTGGGGCTGGGAGGTTGCGATCTGGCTGCTCAGTGACCTGTGCGAGCAGAGCCAGCGGTCCCTTGGGGGCAGTCATGGCAAGAGGAGACCATTGCGTGCCCCCGAGGTGGTGGGGCTGGCTCAGGAGTGGGGCACGGTCCGGGGGGGGGCTGGCTCAGGAGTGGGGCACGCTCCGGGGGACAGCGTTGTATGCAGTGGAGTGAGGAGCACCCGCTCCCCAGAGAGGTGCAGAGAAACGCGGTTCCCGAATCTCCCTAGCAGCAGAAGACCAAGGACAGGCCGGTGCAGTAGCGACTCTAAAATGGCACCTCTGGATCTAGAGGGGTGAGGAAAACAGGGTTGTGGTTTCCTCCGGTTTCGCTGCTCAGACGCGTGCGTCTGGAATCCTTAAAAAGAAAACAGGAAGGAGAAGTTTGCAGCAAGAGGATTGCAGCAAGAAACTGATTTCAATTTCAGCCCAGAAAAGGCATTCAAGATTTGGAAAGCAGAGCGGCCACGCTGGTCACAGTGCTCTTGTCCTGCCCCGAGCAGAAGGGGATGCACGCACCGATAGTCCCTGCGGCACTGCCTTCCCCCTCGGAGGTGTGCAAAGAAGGTCAGATGGTTTGAGGTAACTCAAAGTGCTCAGTTCTCGATGGCTTCAGAGCAAAAAGCCTGTTGACCAGCTACGGGGCTGCATGGGAGCCCACAGTGAAATCTCTCCGGTGTCAGAAATGCTGGTTTTCACCGTGTCGTTGACCCATCTGATGCAATGTGAATGCTTTGTGGTGTGTCCCGTCTACGCAAGTACAATCAAACCACGCAGCAGCACAGCGGAATTACTCTCTGGATGCAGTTTCGGTGGTACAGGCAGGCCATAAGGTTTAAACAGTAATAACAGTGTATGTGAGTTTTAATGGTTTCTGTTTAGTATCGAATTTCTCCCTCCGGAGAGCCTGGTCTGTAACGCTGTGCCCGCAGCAAGGCAGCAGCACGAGTCCGCGCTGGTGGCACGGTCCTGCCGGAGCAGGGACGGCTGGTGGTGGCCAGGCACCCTGCTGCTGGCAGGATTCTGCTCGGGGGGAGGTGAACGTGTGGTCGGGGACGCTAAATTTAAATTGTTACGCTGGGAGTAATGCAAGTATTTCTGGGACGTCTGAGTGTCTGGGTCAGGATTAAGAACTCCCCAGTTTGTTCCAGTTCTGTGGCTGCAGTGCTGAGGTACCCCAGGCAGGACGCATCCCAATGCCTGTATTTCCTCATTATTTAAGTGGAGATTGTTAGTGTCAGCTGAGAAAATGATGTACCGTGATGAGCATCTTATTTGCGTGAACAAATCTAAAAATGGTAACTCGGGGGTGGGGTGGGGTGGGTTTTTTTCCTTTTGATCCTGAAGGGCAGGAACGCTTCACATCCATGACCCGGCTGTACTACAGGGAGGCGTCAGCCTGCATTATCATGTTTGATGTCACCAACATCAGCACATTCAGCAACAGCCAGAAGTGGAAGCAGGATTTGGACAGCAAGCTCATGCTGCCGGACGGGAACCCCGTGCCTTGCCTACTGCTGGCTAACAAAGTGAGCAGCTCTAGCCGCGCTGTGTGTGTTTGTGTGTGTGCAAGGGAGTGCAAAATGGAAGGAGACCCCTTTAGCACTAAGCCTGGCCCAGAGTTGTCCCATAGCCCGTGGTCTTTTTAATCCTTTCCTTGACTCTTCCTTGAATTTTCTTTCTCTAGCAAGGATTCTCCTCCTTAACTAGGACACTGCTAGGACTTAATACACGGATGGCGCTAAGGAGGTGTTAACAACTCCTCTGTCCTAGGATGCAGTGCCTTGTGCTGTCGGAGCTCGAGCTCTGTAGCTCCTGGGCTATAAAGCTTTTTTTTTTCCCCCTCTTTTTTGTGGTCTCTAACTTGCAGTAGCCTGGGAAGGTTGTGTGTGACGCTGCAGGTAAAGTTTCTGTTCAGAGCTGCCAGAGGGATGTCTAGTTTTCATTTGGATGCAATGTCAAGTTTCACTGTGTAGATTGGTTGCTGTCTTTTAATGATTTATTTTTCTTTCATTTAAGAACTACCTTTATGTTCTTCACATGCCAGCGTTGGCTCAGCAGCCCTTTCCAGATTCAGTTTGAGACTTGCCTGGTTTGAGAGAGCCTGAAACTGTACACGGCTCAAAAACGTGATGGGTGGGCAGGAGAGCGGCTTTTCTTCTCCACTTCTTCACAAATAATGCTTTCCCCCGGTAGCTGTTTTAAGGTAGCGATTTTGCCTGCGTTAGGGAAATCTGTGTGACTGTACGCACTGCAGTCACACTAATACAAGCTGTTATGGGACAGGTTTTCTGACTGCCTCTTTGTACATCCCATTGGCATCAGCGTGGCTGCCTCGGTGGCACCACACCAGTAACGTTTCCTTGCTGCCGAGAGGCCGGGCAAATTTTGGATGAGCGACAATGCTTTCTTGTCCTCTGCTGGATGAACCTCCATTCCATACATGCTTGACTGAGGTGTGTTAGTATCTCAGATGAGATAAATATATTGCTGCTTGCAACATCCCATTAAGAACCTTGCCCTAAGAACTCTCTATCAGCTTGCGATCTGGGAGATGTGAAGGGCTGAGCCTACCTGCTGCCTGCCTGCCTGCACACAGGCAGTAAATGGCTGAGGGGGAGAATTCTCCTCCCAGCTTAAAAATTAAAAGGCTAAACTGAAAATGACTGATTCTTGTTTTACAGTGCGACCTTTCCCCATGGGCAGTGACAAGAGATGAAGTGGATC